TCATGGAATTTGAGCGAAACAAGGTGGAGATGTCTTTGGCAGCATTCTTATGGTTGCCAAAGTGAGCTCCATAGCTAGTGAATAAGTAATGAACATTATATTAATGTTTGAAGCCTATTATAGGGCCCTCCTATTAGAATCTATGTTCCTATGTAACTTATACAACGTATGGATTAATACATTGCTTATTCATATACCTATTACTAGGTGATTGACTAGATATGTATTACTAGATGAATATATTAAAATAATTACTAACAATAATTACCCCTTATAAAATCATAATGAACTGATTAATACTAGTTAAAGTTTGAGCAGTAGTCCTCAATGAATCATTTCTCTCACCCTTATCTTCCCGCATTGGCTTCTGTGTGGTCTTGAACACATGGCACTGTTGGTTTTCTATATCTATCCTGTTTCCTGCTCCTGGGAGATGGACCGTCCTAGGCTATGGCCCTGTGAGCTCCAAAGGGTTGGAAAAGCCACTAGAGGCCCAGGAACTAGGATCCATACCAGAGTTAGGTACCAGCCAAGACAAATGAACTAGTACAGCCCTGTTTGACCCACCTGGCAGTAGATTGACTTGAAAGATGCTATTCTGTGTAAGAAAAGAAGTGACTGCATCCATCAGCTAGACTACATTCTGAAGTGACCTTGCTGGGGCAAATACTGTGTAGCACCTGCTTTGAATTTGAGCCCACTCTTTGCAGGAACCAAAGCAGTACTGAGAATAGTGCATCCTTGTACAGAAAGATGGGTTTAGAATTCTTTTCTTGCTATATCTTCTTAGTCACTATCCCTATATAAAAGGTAAGTGATGTTAATTGCTTATTTATGATATCAAGGAGCTAGCAACTGCTTAAATGGTACTGGGGAGATACTTATGGCCACTAGCAAATGATATTGGGGACGGTCATTAGCAGTAATTGATATTAGGGAGAATCACAAGAATGGGGGCCCAACTAATAGCATCTGAAGAGCCCCACTGCCCATCAGAAGTATTCCTAAAACCTTGAGAAGGAGATGTAGCCAGACCAGCTCTGGGACTCAACCCAGTTGTGCACATGTGGACTGGGAGACTAAATCCAGAATCTTGCTACCCATGCAAGTTACATCCAGAATAGATGGAATATAACCTGAGAAGGGAAGACTCTAACACCAACTGAAGCTTTGGTTCTGAGTCAGACTTATCCTAATATTTTCTCCAAAAGTCACTGTCACTGGTACAGAGCACAGCTAACATCCTAGACCTAGACTATTGCTTTGCCAAATAACGTTATACTAATGTGTATTTTTTCCCCCACAAGAGTTTCCCTCTATTGCCTTGTCCTGACCCGATCATCACAGTGTTTGTTTTTATCAGTTTGTCAATGTTTGCGCATTTAATTGCTATTTATCAGTCATCAAAAGAAACAAAAGCCACACATATTAACCTTACCGAGGTAACAACAAAGTTGCCCTGTGTATTCAATAAATGTCTTATTCTATTTAATATTCTCTGTGCCAATTTTGCTGTTATCAATGCATCTATGGGATTTTTAAAAATCGGTTTTGCCTTATTGATTCTTTTCATTCATTCCACATTTTTTGATTTCTTCATATTCATAGTCAGTAATGTTCCGTTGCACCCATATGTTCAACCATTCTTCAGTTGCTGGGCACATAGTTTGTTTCCAGGGTTAACTGGAATAAACAGTGCTTCTAAGACTGTTTTTGTCCAGCAAAGTCTTTTTTCCCCCTGCCAATAATTTCCTTCAGGCTCAAACAAAGGTGTAGGATCTCTGGCTTAAAGCGTATAAGGATTTTTCTTTCTGGAGGAGAGTTTTTTTAATTTTTATTTTTAAATAATTTATTTATTTTTAGTTTTCAACATTCACTTCCATAAGATTTTGAGTCTTAAATTTTCTCCCTCTCACCTCCCCCTTCCCCAAGATAGTGTGCAATCTGATATTGCCTCTACTTATACATTCATATTAAGCATATTTTCCCATTAGTAATGATGTAAAAAAAAATTAGACCTGATGGGAGGAACCATGAGAATGAAGAAATAAAACAAGGATTTTAAAAAATAAATCATATTGTATGCTTCCATATTGCTTTCCAAAAAGAGCGAAGCAACTTAGAGCTCTGACAACACTGTGTTAGTGTGCCTGTTTTGCCATAGTCATTCCAACATTGAATTTCATCTCTTATTATTTTTAAAGTCATTATTGAGTTGTTTTAGTCATGTCTGATTTTTCATGATCCCATTTGGGGTTTTCTAATGGCAGAGACCCTGAAGCAGTTTGCTATTGTCTTCTTCAGCTCATTTTGCAGATGAGGAACTGAGGTAAACAGGGTAAAGTGACTTGCCCAAGGTCACACAGTTAGTAAGTGTCTGAGGTTGGATTTGAACTCTGAGTCTTCCTGAATCCAGGCCTGGCACTCTATTCACTGCAATACCTAACTGTCCCTTATCATCTTTGCTTGTCCTCAAAGAAATTATGACTGAAAAAGATGGGTTGGCTATGTAGAGAGAGTGCAGGATAATTGATAGTCAGCCTATATGTTCCATTCATACTTGTAATGTCCAGAGAACCTTAGCACACTGGGGGAACCATCTATAGCAAAGTTATAGGAAGACATTGTTGAGAGTCAATGGGATAGGCTAGGATGGATGGGCTGTGGTCCACCTCACTGAGGAGAATACCTACACTGATATGTATCATCACAGATCCATTGGGATATTAGAGATATACCCAGCTTTGCCAATTTTACGTATATAAGATAGAGCTGATTTAATTTACATTGCTCTAATTAGTAGTGATTTTGAACACTTTCAACTGATTGCTGATGGTTTATGTTTCTTCCTGAAATATCATAGGACTAGGAATTAGGAGAACCTGGATTTTATCCTGCCTCTAATAGCTATCTATTACCTCATCTCTAAAATGGGCATCAAACTGGGGACCAGACAAGATGGCTCTCATAAAATGCTTTGCAAACCTAAAAATACAATAAAAATACATTAAAAACTGTCTTTTTATATCCTTTTTATATCTCTATATTGGAGAATGGCATGTTTAATAATTGGAAACAAATTGTGTGCCCAAAAAGTGAACACCTAAACAAATAAATGTGATGACATATAACTCAATCATAGAGAAAAATCAGTATGAAGAATTCAAAGAAATATGGGGAAAATTTTAAAGTGATTCAGGATGAACAATGTAGGACCAGAAGAATAGACACAACCATTACATGTATACAGACAACTTGAAATGGTAACACAGCTCACATGAAAAACACCAAAGACCAGGTAGCTATTCTGTGTTTCTCACAGTTGCATTTGAACAGTGGATCCACAGAAGGTGGCTGACTACTGTCTCCCTCAGTGTTTCAGAGGTCTGTGTGGGGTTGGAGGTATTCTGTTACTATTACATCCAAGCACCCCCCCCTTTGTTGTGTTCCCCTTTGATTACTAGCTAGCTAGAGATAATTAGATTTGAGAAAGGGTTATTTAAAAACATCACCCCAAATATCTGGGACATGCAATCCTGTAAGTACATACAGACTCCAAAGGAAAGTGGGTTCAAGCTTAGAAAATAAAGACTTTTTTGCCTTTTGGTGGAATCCCTTTTTGGTATGTGTCCTAAAGGTTGGGACCCTTGCAGAGTCCTGAAACTACATCTCTCGCCCTCCCAAAGCTTTAGTCCTAGGTCAGCTCAAAGCTGGGTTCATAGTTTAACATTATTATCTCTGATATTGTCCATGATAGGGAGGAAAAGTGTGATACTCCTTTTCCCTCCCTCCATTCCTCACTCACCTCCAGTTATAGGTGTAGGGGTCTGCTTTCTCAAAGTACTCCCAAAGCTTAAGTAAATGCTAGAATGTTCCTGCTGGGACCTTCTCTGGTATATGAAAGCCCAGAGGTGTGTCTAGTTCTTTCAACCACTCAGTCCAATGTTACCTCTGATTTCACCCACTTCACTCTTTCCCAATTTGACTAATTAAGTTGTTTGAACCTAATTTATGCATTTGATTGATTCTGTAACTTAATCAAAGAGGTTGTCTTACTTGATAAAGGTATTCAACATGAAATGTGTTCTTGGTTATGTTAATTTGGGTTGTGGGGTGTATAAACACCTTTCCTAATCTTATCATATTTGCAGATGACAGGCCTACTAAGACATTGAAAGACAGGATCAGAATCAAAAAGGTCCCAAAGGGCCCTAATCATGGTATCAAACTCAAAAAGAAACAGGCAGCTGAATTTGTACATAAGGATCCCTGTGGGTTGCCATATATTGTCTTAGAAAATCACATGTTAACATTATCTGTGTTTTACTGTATTTTATTTATTTTGTTAAATATTTCCCAACTATATTTTAATCTGGTTAGAGCCAATCTCAGAGTATTGTGGGTATAAACCCATAAACCTCATGTTTGACACCTCTGGGCCAGAACATTAAAGATAAATCTAATTAAGGTGATATAGCAAGGTTTACCAACCTCCTGACCCAGGCATGTGTTAGAGACACAAACCTGTCCTAGTGAAACTTAACAAGAATGAATGTAAAGTTTTCTACTTGGACTCAAAAAATCATTTATGCAAGTATAAAACAGGGAAAACAGGGATAGATAGCTGTTCATATGAAAAATATATAGTGGCCGGCAAGCTTTTTTTCCCCCATCACCATAATTAATCTTCTTTCTCAAATACTTGAAGGGCAGCTATCACTCATTACAGAATTACAAAACCACAGAATGTGGAAGGGGTCCTTAGAAATAATCTCATCCAAACTGATTTTATAGAAGAAAATGAGGCTCAAGGTGACTTCCCCAGGTCATGCAGCTAGTAAATAGCCATGGAGATGGAACAGTCTCTTTTAGGTCCTGTGCCTTTCAATGAATTGTAATTTTTATCCTACAATGCGTAAACTCTTCATAATGGTGAGGTTGGCCATGCCCGGGGTTGCTATGGAAACAACTGTGATGACATCTGTCTAGGTCTTCACAAGGTCCAGCAAAAGAGGCTGTCTCCTTGCTTCTAGTTAAACACAAAGAGATTTGGAAGCTGGCCTTGTGACTTAGGAAGATTAAAAAACAAGAAAACCACAAAACCCAGAACTATGCCAGGCCCCACATGAACATTTAAATCTTGAAACATTAAGTACTTTTTCTTTCCTGAGAAAGTCCTGTTGTGAGACAGAAGAGGCCAAACATTTTCTACCCCCTACAGAAGAGGGTCTCTCAGTGACAAGCTTCAGGCTTTTCCTCTGGGTTTCTGATGATCCCTGGAAAGGTAAAAGACGGGCCGAGGAGACTGTGCAGGAACTCCAGTGCTGTTACCGAAGGCTTCCACAACCTCTGGGATGTTGCCATCCGGAATGCAAAGACAGCATCCAGCATACCAAATCCATGCCTGCTCTCCGAACCCAGTCCTAGCTCCAGCTATTGCAAGAACAAGGTATTGGGATAAAATGGAATTTTCATAGGTGGAATCTCTAGTCACATATCCACTGCACAATTCGTTCACTCACTCATTCATTCATTCATTCATTCATTCATTCATTCATTCAACAAGTGTTGCAGTCTGAGAGATTTAGATCCCTGAAGGACCAGAGTATAGGACGGGATCATCTGGAATAAATTCACAGACTCAAACATTCTTTGAGTCAAGGTGGCAAAGATTTATTGTTACACTATACAATGGGCAGAGGTCCTTAAAGAATTCTGCCATGATGGGCAGAGCTCCGTAGGGAACTCTCAACCTAACAGGAAGGATGCTAAAGCTTATGTAGGAAAAGTAGTGAATTATGTGCCAAGTATGCTCATTAGGTGATAACATACAGCTACATTCATTCACTACTGGAAACGGGGTTAGGGGGAGATGGGTGGGGGGAGAAGAGAGGGTTCTTAAAGGATATATTTTGGCCTATTATGTCTGTAACAAGATAGTTTCAGGAGTTGACATCTATAGCTTGACCTCTGGATTGTATACAGTAACTGTGGGCATCAGTACATGATAGTTCTGCTGGCACAAGATAATCCTGTTCATACAAGGGAAATGCTACAGAGGTCACCTTGTTCTTGTAACAGGGAGAGACAGTGAGATAGTTTACCTCACTGGACCCGCTCATGAGTTATTGCCAGAGATAGGGTCTTTGGGCTGTAGGAAAACTGCCAAGGATAGTGTTTTTGAGGCCAGGGAGAAATTGGGGTGCAAACACAAGCACCCACGTGCCCCATCACAAGCATGTATTGTGTGTCTATTGTGTGCCAGACTTATTACAAGTTGGGAATGCAGAGGGAAAAAAATGAAAAGAAACAACCCTTTCCCCAAACCTCAAACAGTTCCTGCTCTCAAAAAGCCTGCATTGTGGGTGGCAGGGCAGAGAAAAACATGTACCCAGATAAACAAATACAAAGTGTACACAAAGCAAGCATGAAATAATTTTCGAGGGGGAAAGCCATTAACAACTTGCAGGATCAGGAAAGATGGGGGTAGGGGAGGGTGGGACACAGCCAGGAATTCTAGAAACTGAAGATAAGGAGGAAGTGTGAAATAATCTTAAAAGGTAGCACCTCACCAGGGCCTCGTCCAAATATCACCAGGCCTGGAGGAGCACTTGAATAAATGTATGAACGTCAGAAGTTTGGTTTTTTTCATCCCATCAGTGGTGGAAAATGTGCCATTCCCCATCCCCCCATCCCTCCTCCCCTTCTCCAGTTATATTATTATGGAGACATGTATCTAAATTCAATGAAACCAGATCATTTATTTAGACTTAATTTAGTCCAATCCCTCCATTTTACAGCTGAGCCAACCTAGAGTTGTTACGTGATTTGCCCAAGACGACAAAGCTAATAAGTGGCAAAGCCAGGGTTTCGATACCAGTGTCCTGACTCCAAGTCTATCCATTGAACCAATACAGACTCTTTACAGTAAAAAGAGATTTTTCCACTCATTTAAATGAGCTCTCTGCCCTTCTAACATCTTTCAGTCCGTAGTACTCTCCATGACCCCATTTGGGGTTTGCTTGGCAGAGATACTGGAGTGGTTTGCCATTTCCTTCTCCAGCTCATTTTACAGATGAGGAAACTGAGGCAGAAGATGGCAGGACTTACCCAGAGTCACACAGTAAGTGTCTAAGGCCGGATTTGAACTAATAAAGATGAGTCTTCCTGATTCCAAGCCCAGTGTTCTATCCACTGTGCCACCTAGCTGCCCCAAAAGGTCTCAAGATTGTGCCAAATGAAAATCTGTTGAAAGAAGCAGGAATACGTAGCCTGGAGAAGAGAAGATTTGGGATTGGGGGATGGTGGGTTGAGATGCCTGTGTTCAAGTATTTGAAGGGCTGACATGTGGAAGAAGGGATTAGTTTTATTCTACTTGGCCCCAGATTGCAGAACCAGGAACGGTGAGGGGAAATTGGCATGAAGTTAACTTTGAATTGATACCAGGAAAAACTTTATAATAATTTAAGAGAGTTGTCCACAAGTGAAATGGACTGCCTTGGGAAAGTAATGGGTTCCCCTTCCCTAGAGGTCTTAAAAAAGAGTCTAGACACCCACTTTAGGGGTATGTTGTAGAGGGATTTCCATTCCAGCATGGATCCATCTAAAAAGTTCTGTCTGGTTCTGAGATTCAGTGATTCTAAAAAGTCACTCCAATTTTAAAGATGCACCATCATGACGACATTCTTGCAGAGACTCAAGAAAATTGTTGTACTGATGTCATTTTTGTTTTTTTGTTCCTCCCCCCAAATTTTCCTGATACACACACACACACACACAGACACACACATTCCTACAAGTCTTCCTATATTTCTTTGAAGTCCTCATATTTGTCATGAGAGAAATGATTATTTTTCTATTATTCATAATAAACTATTAAACTAGGACTGAGGTTTTTTCCCTTTTATTGCCTCATTCAGGGACCAGCCTTTGTAGGTCAGCCAGTCTCTGAAGGACAGGGCTGGTGATGAGATTGGCCAAAACCTTCAGGAATATTCTCCTCAATCTTGGAAGAGCTTATTTCTGATTAAAGTATATATTAAAAAAAAAAAAGAATCTAGGTGAATTCTGGCCCTAAAAAGCATTAGGCTTGTGCCCTTGAAACCCACCCTCCCCATTGTTTAGTGTAAGTAGTCTGGGTGGCAATGGATTCTTTCGTTCAGATTGCTGGAGGCATCTGAGTCTCATGATCAAACCATGTTCTCAGCCTGAAAAGCTGAAGGCTTTCAGCCCACCTCCTCGTCTACCCTTCATTGATTGCTCACCAATCAGTGTTGGTCTCTGCCTGTCAGGGACACCCAGTTTTCCAGAGGTTTTTAAGCATTCAGTGAGTTCCATGGTTTGTCTTTGGTTACCTAGAGAGACTACTGATCATCAATTTATTGATTATTTGCCAGCCTAATTAATAAATTGATTATTAATTACCCAGAAACTCTCTCATTCATCAGTCATTTTATCTTCCATAGGGGATAGAGACCTAGACTTGCTAGCTAGGCAGGAAGAGACCTAGGTCAAGTCCTACCAGTGTGTGCAATGGGCTTTAAATCAGGCAGACTCATCTTCATGAGTTCAAATCTGGCCTCAGACACTTACTAGCTGCATGACTCTGAGCAAGTCCCTTCACTCTATTTGCCTCAGTTCCCTCATCTGTAAAATGAGCTGGAGAAGGAAATGGCAAACCACTCCAGTATCTTTGCCAAGAAAACCCCAAATGGGGTCATGAAGAGTCAGGCAAGTCACTTGACCTCTCATTACTCTAGGTAACTCTCTAAGACTTTAAGTTGCATAAAGGTTGCCAATCTGTATTAGTAGAGGGAGTTTCCTCACCTGGGAATGGGATACCAATGGGATCCCAGGTCCAGTCTCAGTCCCTGTTCCTATCTTGGCGTTCACATAGCACAATTTATTCAGTCATTCCTCCACCGATGTCTCACCATCCACTTTTGTTTCCAGTTCTTTGCAGTCACAAAATGTGCTACTCTGAATAGTTTGCCATCTATGGAAATTTTCCCTCTGCTCTTGACTTCTTGGAGATAGAGGCCTGGCAGTGAGGATTGTTTGGTCAGAAGGCCTGAACCATTTTGTAACTGTTCTCACATAATTCCAAATTATTTACCAGGTTGCTTGAACCAATTCACAACTTCAGGAGAGATTTTTATTTATTTATCTTTTTGATTTGATTTCTAAGCAACTGAATTTCTTCCTGCGGATGAATAGCTGGTGCTCTTCTACTGCTCTGTGCTTGGGAAGGGGACGTTTGAATACAGGACAAGATGTAATTCAGCTCAGTCATTTAAAGACCAAATTCATAGGTTCAGTAATATCCCTCAAAGCACCTCCCCTCTCCACACAGTTATTTCCCTGCAAAGAACTAATCAGTCAATCAATGAAATTAGCAAGCATTTATCAACAGCTTACTATATGCCAGCACACTGTTCCCTCTTCTCCATCTGATGCTTCTGGTTTCTCAGGGGGCATTCAGAGCTCTGCCAGTTGTGGGGAAAAAACCTTTATCCAGATCATACTGTGGCATCATGAGATGAAGTCTCCCTGGGAACCAGAACCATCAACCTTTTTTTTTAAAATAGAAATGATTAAAAAGCTTATTTACTTAAGCCTGCTTGGAAAATGAGGTTAATAATGTTCAGAGGAATCTATATCCCAGTTATTGCTGAAAAACCTCCTCTGGCCAAAAGATGAGTACCATTGACATTTGTCTTTGATCATTTGGAAGCCTGCCAAATGAAAGAAGGAGTGGGCTTGAATGAATGAAAAAAAATTGTTAAGCACTTAATATACGTCAAGCACTGTGCTAAGTACTGGGGATACAAAGAAAATAAGGGACAGTGTCAAGGGGCTGACACTGTAATTGAGGGAGACAACACATAAAAGGAAGTTTAGCTATAGGACAGGAAAAAACACCTCCGGGTCTTAAGAGTAAAGGGCATAGCAGAAGGGTGGATGGCAAAGCTCAGAGGTCCTTAGGATTATATCGGGTCATTTAACAGTACCAGGGGTCTGGAGGTTATAGAGGCAAGTCATATGGTAAGGGCCGGAGGCTCATAGGAGGCAGTGACAAGGTAGGTGGTCAGGCCTGGCTCTCAAGAACCTAACCTCAAGCCTACTTAGTAGCTCATTAAATGGATTCATTGTTTTGGACTTAGAAAATCTTAATCTTTGAATTCTCAGATTGGGAAATTGCAGGGTCAGGATTGTTTTTCTTAATTAGTCTTCTCTATCTTACTGGAAGGGTTAGAGTTGTTGCCTACCATCTCATCAAAGCCATGTGAGCAATCATACAGATGGGTTTAGGGGGCTTGGGCCGGAGGAGGGGGCACGAAGGTAAAGTAGGAGAGGAAGGTTATCCCTATTGTGGTGGGTTTTCCCATCTCCTGGCTTTTGTCATTTTTTTTAACTCCCAAAGACAGAATGAGGAACCATGGGGGGAAG